TAAACTACTACTAGTAAAAGTAAAAACTAAATAAAACACCAAAGATGGGGTATATGTAACTCGTACTGTATCCCAGTTAATATCAATGAGAAATTAAATTAACTTTAGTGATATTATGTTCAGTTAGTAACATTAAATGTTTAAAATCATTTAACTGTAGTTTATTGTTATTAATATAATTCATTAGTAAACTAAAACTTTAGTTATATGAATTCCAGTTTATGTCTGTTTGTAAAATTGTTAAACTTTATCGTTGATACCAATACCGAAATGAATATCGTGACTTTATCAAAACTTTATGATAAATCAATAAATACACTTTGCAATTTTTGTTGCTAATGTTTTCAAATATAACGAAATTTAAAAAAAAGCAATCTTGAAATTACAGAAAGCTACTTTTTAAAAAGTATTTGTTTTTGTAATGAAAGAAATAATTTTGGTTAAAATAACATTTACAAATATGAACTATATCTTTTAGGATTTTATGATTCATATATTTGAAAGACAAAAATCTAGCTAACCCTAACCCTTCATAGATAACTCATTGACGTATGTTTTAATTCTTGCCCTTAGTTTAGATACTTATGTCTGAGTAAATACAACGGCTGGAAAAGTATTAAGAATTATATCTGTACAGCATAGAATTTTAAGATCTGACACATACACTGTGTATAATTTTTATAACCTCTCTCGAATTTCTCATGTTTTGGTTTTATTTCCTGCTTATTTGAGATTGTAATGGTCGAAACCACGAAGTATTAGGTTTCTGTAGCCGATATCTTCAATGTACATAATCCCTAATATATTCATACAAGATTTTTCGAAGTGTTTGAAACGTTAAATAAAAACGAACAAAGCATAAGCTAACCCAATTATAATAACAGTGAATGGGAATACTTGAGAGTAAGGTCATAGTTGATTATAGTGTAAATTGTCCTCTTTTTTTTCCAGCGAAAACTATTACGAAAACTTCATTGGATAAAGGTTCATACAACTTGTAATTATGCAAGATATCCTGGAAGATGCTGGTTAGATGCAACGTTAAACACAATATATATGTACGTGAATTTCCTGAAAAAAAAATTTTCTATTGAAATTATGAATATTTTGTTACTGTTATTTTATTTTCTGCTTCAAATATAATCATGTCTTATAAAAAAATACTAAATATACAAATAAAGAAAATTATTTGAGTTTAATGTCGTTCTTGTTGTTTTTTACCGTAATGTTACACACCAGGATTTTAGTGATGTAATTTTACAACCTTACCGCTGTTCCATCAGGAACGTTTGTGTTAGGAACTAACACATTTTATAAAAAATGCCTAATACAAGTTACATAACGTTTTGATAACTAACCTGTCGCTTTTCAGGTGCGACATTAAAAATGATTCAACAAACGAAACATTTAATATCTCGGTTGAAGGAGCTCCAGACACATAAACAAACCATTCATCTCTCAAAGCAGCATTTTTTATACGTTTCCTAATTAATGAGGTTTCAATGGTCTTGCGTTTACAGATTTGTAAAGCAAAAAAGTCTTACAAAATTGAAAATAAACTAACTCCACTATTTTGCTCATTGACTTCAATGAGTATAATAACGTACTTCATTTATAGATTTATTTTTCTCATCTCGGGCTTTTATAAATTAATTTGTCTCTGTTATATAAATATATATATAGCAATGGAAAGAAACAAAATGTTCAAAACAATATATTTCGTTCATAAATGAATGATTTTTATTGTAAAGTCGTATTTAGAGGGCCCCCTAGTGGCACCGCTGTCTGCGGACTTATAACGCTAGAAACCGGTTTTCGATATCCGTGATGGGCAGAGCACAGATAGCCTATTGTGTAGTTTTGTGCTTAATTCCACACGAACGTATTTAGAGCCACATAGTTTGAGCAAAGAAAGCTAAAAATTTTGCATTGCCAATTTCTTTAGGGTAAGATACATAGAAATATTAATGAACATAGTGAAAGTGTCTTAAAAACACCGAATCAGAAAATTCAAAGTTTTGTACTTTTCTGTTTTATATATTTAATTTTTAAAGGGATTTACTAGTTCCAACGTTTAATTAAAGATTGATAAAAAATCCTTATATACAAGCGTGTAAGTCAGTTTACCCTTGACCAAAGAAATGAAAGAAATAAGACAAAGTTTAAAGCAGCGTTTCTCAAAGTGTGGGGCGCGCTCAAGAGGGTGCAAATGATCTCTTTGGGGGCGAGCAACTAGGGTAGAGTCAGTAGTACAATAATGCAAAATTTAGCGTTTTAACATATTTTTATTAATGAAAATAATAAATAGTTATTACAACGCATACAGAATTTTATTGTGCATCCGTGTATTTATATCTCGTCATTTAACTCACTTTTTCAATCATTTAAAAAACAAAGAGGCGCGCAAGAAACCATATTTATTAAAATGGGGGTCGTGGATGACAAAAGTTTTGGAAACGCTGGCTTAAGGCATGATCTGCAAACCAGACAGTTAAATCTTTGGTAGAGAATAAAAGTAATTTAGTGACCCCTGGCGGATTTATTGCGCTGAATGTTTTTATGGGATTTTAGTCGCAAGAAAGGTTTACAGAAACCTATGTGAATAGAATATGACTCGATTATTTCAAAATTCCCGCAAATTCTTAGTGAAACACAAAACATCAGAAAGTAAGAGAGGACAGTCTTTCTTGCAATCCTTGGTTAAAGTGCCAAATTGACATAACATAATGTTTAGGGACAACATTTAGCTATTGATTCGTCTAGGCTGTACCATCCTCTAAACTAAACTAAAACTATTGAATAAAAACAAAATAAACAAACCTCAAAGCCAGACTTTATCATTCATATAATTATCAAGCTTTCTTTAAACTCACTTGAATTTACTACCTCCACAACATCCTAAGATAACCCATTCCAGAAGCCAACCACCCTGTTAGAAAAATAACAGTGTCTTAGCTGAAGATGACTCCTACCTTGCCAAAAATCTATATTTTTTTCCCCTAGTCCTACTATTGTCACTGTTAAGTATGAAAAATGATGATACATCAACACTATCAATTCTGTTTACAATCTTAAACACCTCTATCAGATCCCATTTAACTCTTCTTTTTTTCAAGAGAAAACAATTTCAGATATCTTAATCTCTCCTTATAAAAAAACCCTTCGTCCCAAGCACCTTTCTAGTAACCCTCTTCTTAACCCTTCCCTATAATTCTATGTCCTTCCTAAGGTAAGGAGCCCATGACTGAACACAAGACTTCAAATGTGGCCTAATCAGTGACCTATACAATGAAATTATAACATCTTTTGACTTGTATTCAATATTTCTGTAGATATAACTTAAAATTCTACTTGCTCTACCACTAGGTTATGACATCAGTTTTTCTAATTTTGTCGGATGTATTTTTTATTAAAGTTTTATTTATCTTATTTCACTAAACTACCTAGTTAATTGATAAAACTTTAAGTATAAATGTGTTAATGATTATGTATATATCATATGAAATGTAGGTCGGCTGTGCCTTGTGATAAGTATGTCCAGACTGTGAATCCATTGATTCATGTTTCACGACTCGTTGCTGTAAAAATGTACTCTATAAGAGTGACAAATTCCGCTATTCGACGAGACAAAAATAACCCAAAAGTTAGCGATGGGTGCTGTTGACTAGTTGCCTTCCCTCTAGTTTATCACTTTGAAATTAGGGACGGATATGTACAGATAGCCGCTGTGTAGCTTTGCACGAAAATCCCTAAAAATCAAACAATACCATAAATGCTTATATAGATGCTTGTAAACATAATCAGCGAAAGCCACGTAAGATTTAAAATGTTGGTTTGGATTTCGCGCATAGCTACACGAGGGCTATCTGCACTAGCTGTCCCTTATTTAGCAGTGAAAGACTAGAGGGAAGGCAGCTAGTCATCACCACCCACCGCCAATTCTTGGGCTACTCTTTCACCAACGAATAGTGGGATTGACCGTCAAATTATAACGCCCACACTGCTGAAAGGGCAAGCACGTTTGATGGGATGGAGATTCGAACCCTCGACCCGCAGATTTCGAGTTGAGCATCCTACCCACCTGGCCATACCCGGTCCGGAAGATGCTGGTAAGTCACATGAAAAACTCCCTGGAGTTTTCGACAGGCGGGACCGTCTTCTTCAGTGGTGCCTCCAGTGGCACAGCGGCATTTCTGCGGACTAACAACGCTATAAACCGGGTTTCGATACCCGTGGTGGGCAGAGCACAGATAGCTCATTGTGTAGCTTTGTCCTTAACTTCAAAGAAACAAACAAAATTTTCAGTGGTAACTTTAGAATGACACACTTGAAAAAAGTTTTGTTTATTGTTGAACATAAAACCACACAATGAGATGTCTATGCTGTAACTGCGACGGATATCGAAACCCAATCTTTAGCGTTATAAACTCCCACACTTTCCACTGGACCACCAGGTGAGGGACTTAAAAATGAACTTATCCAACATCTGTTATCTTCAGATATTCAAAACACTTTTAAAAATCATCTTCGAAGATAGTTACGATTTGCATAGTAGGTATTTCAGCCAAAACATTTTATTCAAAAAATTATTAAACATTTAGAAAAGTAACATGAGTACCACATTGAAAGGATTTATTTGAAAAACAAAACTGCTTTTAAAATTTTAATATCGTTAAGAAAACCAAAACTAAGGTAACAAGGAATAAGATAAATTTATAAAACTCATTCTGTTCGCCGCATAATATCAGGTTTGTTCCTGTTTTTATTTATATAACAACAGAAAAAAGATTTATATACTTACCTAATTGAACACCAAAAGAGATGTTACTGAAACTTCACTTTTTCATACGAAAAGTAATGAAATTCTGCGGAATACAAAGGAATGCTATCTACTTTAAAGCTTCTTCTCCACGACAATAGATGTCAGCCTTCAAAATGTAGCCATTGAAAGGCAAGTAAATAAAAAATATATTTCCATAAGTAAAAAATGGCAGAAATAATAGGTTAAAAGCAATTAAAAATGTGTCATTGAAATTAATTTATAGGAAGGCGTTATAATTGTGACAGATATTCTCACAAATATGCGTGAAAAATAGTCATATAACCAGCATTTCTAAGTTAAGAATGGATATGTCTGAAGATTTTGGGGTTTCTGATCTGGCCTTTTGAACACAAACCATTTGTGAAACCAATAGGTAATCAACCAGTACAAGTGCCATCTACAAAAAATTGATTATAATTCATATTGACAAAAATGTTATCCTAACTAGTAGAAATACGATGCTTATAAGAAGCATATGATTGTAATAGTTATCGGGATACATTGGCGCCCAAAGGATGCTGCCTCAACTGGGGTAGACAGGTGAGTATAAATCAAAGGATTCTGTCTGAGGGTTACATAACTATTACACAATATACACACCTGGAGGTTACATAACTGTTATAGTATATACACATGAGGGGTATGTAGCTATTACGTAATATACAAATTAAGCCGCTACCCGAAGATTACATAACGTTACTTAATATATACACCTAAAATTACCTAACTATTACGTAATATGTCAACACTTAATGGTTACATAAGAGTTACGTAATAGGCCCCAGAGACTGCCTTAGAGGAGAAGTGACATCATAGTTCCATGATGTGGCACCAGTGGTTACGTTGGTATAATGAGCATGCAGATAATTCGCGAGGTGATGTAGATCAAAATGTTACAAACTTTATAGTATCAAAGTCTTAAAATTAATATTTTACCTCATTTACATAGCATTGTTTTTACAATTATTACAACTAAAGTTTTGCTTTATAAGTAAAACATTAAATCTGCTACTTTAATCTTATCAGCTTTATAGCTTATGTGTTTAATTATATATACGTCTTGGTGGACAGACATATATAGAATATTATTCCTCATTGTTCTGCTAAAAATTATCTATGTCTGTTGATAACGACTGACATACAGACACATTTCCGTATTTTTTGAGAGCCGAATATGATCACTTCTGCATGAAGGAAGTTTGCACTCTACTGAGCACCCCTCTAGTTTATATGGTATTTGAATGGGGCAAATATTATTGCCAATAAT